AATATTCGCCGCTCAATTTATATACTCTGTCGCTTGTATACTACCGTTTGTATTGCAACTCTATATGATGAGAATGTTTTTGAACAGCACAGTTGATGAAAAGCATAGAATCGAGTTTGTTACATTCAAAATCAGTCTTGAGCTACTCATAACCACTAAACTAAACTGTATTGATAATTGAGCGGCACTTGTAACTTGTTTGTTTATACACTTTTGGATCGTGTATCGCCTTCAACGTTTAATTCAGACACGCGAGTGGACTGATTTAGAGAGGAGAGCCATTTTAGTATGGAAACCTTGCATGTATTACGGTCAACGTTCTCGGTTACTTCTCTGAACGAATACAGCAGGAATTAGTACTGTCTGCTGGCCTCAAGTTGAAGGGAAGTGACCAGCACAGCCAACACTCACAGCATGTCCTAATTTGTAATGCTCTAAGCTGGGCTGGCAAAACACAAATCTCTTGTCTCCAAGGTGATCAATTCTCAATAAGTTTTGCTGGCTGCAGTTTTTAGTTGTAGCTGTCTTTGGGCAATAACGTTTGATTACACGTAAAATAGAATATAGATTATAGCACAGGATTTCCTTCTCATTTGAGATGCTATGCATCGTCAACAAGTTGAAAGTTTAGGCAGAGACAAAGCTCCTGAAACCTTGTAAGACTGGGTGCAGTTCTCCTACGCTATACATATAGCGGATTGGCTTTTAATGAACATCAACGCAAGATCTCTAATTCAAAGGCATTTGGAAAACTGGTAAATTGTATGTATGCACCGACTGCATGTTTTTAACTGAAAATTGGTGAAAATATACGGACCCAGCCGTATGTGGTGGTGTACTGCTGATCAGTGAGCAAGCGGAAAGCCCCCATTAGACAGCCGAGCGTCAGTACTCCTGAAAAATCAATCACTATATCGTAGTTTTGTAACATTCAACATGATCGTAGGTAGAACACTGCAGGAATTGATGAGAGCTGCTGAAGCCTTATGCAGAAAACTAATAATGAGATCTTTAAAGTATATCTCAGAGCTTAAAACGTGTCCTCTATATCACATCTATTCCCTTCAGAAGATGTCAGCTTCGCTATGAACCTCAAAATTTGCTGCTTAATATATCCTCGATCGTAGTAAGCATTGCACTTTAGCTGATGAAGCATCACGCTTTTACATACAGTCAAGCACATGGTCATGCGATGATGTTTATAACAGAGTGCACCTTGTCACTATGTATACATAATTCCCTGATTGATATACTTCGGCGTTTGAGCTATGAAATTGGGTGTTTGAGCAAATCAAAGTAGTGCCATATTTTTTCAATATTTGATATTCAGCTCTAAGTTGTACTAAATGATAGATCCTCAACTAGTTTATATTAATTTGCTTTGTCATATACTTCGATCTTGATACTCAGTATACACATACCGGAGCCGATAGCATTCTGTTTGTATCAGTGTGCCTCTGAAATTTCATTGCATCTCCATTCACCCACTTCTAGAAGATTAAGCCATATTCTAACGCCATTTTGATGCACTACGGATAGAAGCCTACATCAAAACACCTGAATTGAATAGAATCTTTGTCTGATAGTGATAGATTGTGCTGGATAGGCTTGAATTTTGAAGTTTAGGGTGCGACATTGATCGAATCAGATATGATGTGTAGCTCAACTACGGCTCTTTCTGTTATTACATTCAATTAAACGAAAACTCATATTCGTAGACATTGGGAAATTATCTCTATGAAAGGCAATAGGTTCAGGATTGAATATGAGCGCTTTATTACTCAAGTCCGGTACTTCATAGCTCTCATGAGTTACATCGACAGCTGTGGAGTTCATTGAATACAAGTACATGTTAAATAGCCGGAGAATATAATACCGTAAAAGAGAGAGATCAGTCACAACAATGCCATGGATAACAGACACATTGTAGAAACATGGCTTGTGTTTTCCATTATGTTTGATTAATCGAACGTTATGTCTGAGCCAATCTGCCCTGTCGCTCAACTCGGAAAGTTACAACGTCCCTTTTCTCCCATCCCAATATCGGGTGCGCGTTTGAAAATTGGGCAATGGACATGTGACGGGGCAATGAACAACAGACATTAGTCCTGATTTTTGGTAGTTTGGTCAGTCCTTTGTAATGTTCAGGTCTGATTCATGCGGACAAAAAACACCACTAATGGGCTACACTAAGTGATAGCTCATATGCCCAACTTAAAGATACAGAGCCACGATTGTACAGTGCGAAGTCAGATATTAAAGAGAATAGTGCAACAGGCAGAAAGACAGAACACATATCTATAGTTAACAATTACTGTGATTCAGGAACAGTAGTAGTGACCACACATAACTGACCACTAAATGTCAGTGAACAAATGAAGTCAGGCAACGTTGAAACATGAGGGACTGATGTATTCGAACTTTTGAGGTTAGCCTAACATTTTGGACTTGCATTACCTGGATCCATGATACATATTACTCTGCTGGACATCTATCTTCATGCGGGATACAAGGATGTCTTAGCAGTTGGAAGTTCTGCATTAACATCAGTTTCGTATACTTACAGTTCAGTGACGCATTCCTCATGATTCATGACTCACATACAACCCCCAAATATTACGCATTATAACCAAGTTAGCTTTACATATTGTTAGAAGTTGGATATTGTAACTAGGCAATAATAAGGAAGTTGCAAGTCTTTGCATAATCATTATGTGAAAGCGTAACTCCCTTTTGTTTGTATGTACTTTCTCTCATCCTGGACTCAAAGGCCTCAAATTTATATCAACGAGACCAAATTTGTCTTTCATTTGTTGATTGGATGTTAGCAACAGTTTGGGGATTACAAGTACTCTAAAAACAAAAAGCATACATCGATCAACGTTGATAATTTTGAGCTTTAAGACCCCATGAATAACAGCTTGGATGGATATCCTTTGCTGGGAAGACCATCAATCCATAACATTCTTGCAGCTCGTACTACTTATGGATGCATTGATAGCTCTGTGATATCCACGATATCGCATACAGCAAAAGTCTATCAAATCGTTTTCTCCATAAGATGGGATCGGCTTGATCACAATTGTCGGTACTAGTCCCGTATATATATGCCATTATTTAATCGAGAGTTTGCAGTTTATGATTCGGTAAATAAGTTTCAGGTAATAAACGACCTACTGCCTTCACCTCGTTGGTGAGGTCAATATTGATCACAGGCAGCTGTAACGTATTCAAATCAACGGGTCAAGATGGTGAGCCAACAGACCAGTACCAAGATAGCACTCATATATATTTCATACCGCACTGATTATATCCTGTTTTTCCTTTAGGGCCAATTATACATAAGATGTGAGCTCTAGACTTATGAGACCCTATTTCAATTACGTTTAGCCGGACACAATTCTTAGTGAGGTATCTCAATCAAAACTATCGGCTTCCAAAGCACGTTGATATTGAGCAATTTCAATTCCAATAAGGCATACTGCACCGTGTCCTGAAGAATGCTAGCCAATTGTTGCACGCCTCAATAGAGAGAGAAGCATTAACTTTATCATAGGTTGGAGAGTCTCATATACTGTACTTAAAGATAAGTGCTAAAGAAGATAACCCGACAAACCGCTATTTGCGTCTAGACCCGAATCTCGATACATTTGACTCCCAAAGTGCTCACACATATGTCGTATTCAGTGACAGATGAAAACCTAAAAGTTACAAGTTGGATGTTACGAGTCAAAAGTTACGAATCAAAGGTGAATAGCGGAGCCCACTACCTCTCGCTCAAAAATCCAGATCTTTGAAATCCGTTTGCAGCTCAATCTGCCTCACCGGCTACAGTTCTGGGCCAAGCTGCAGTAGTGCTACCAATGAAATATCAAGCCAGGTTACCAGCGTGACTCTACCTGATTGTACAGTATGTCACACATTGTGGCTTTTGTCTAACGGCTGAAAATAATTTTCCACACCGACGGATTTCTCGAATCACTCTTGGAAACTGCACGGCTGCAAGAATTAGTATGACTACATATTAAATCTGGATTGAGGTGGACCCCAGCCGAGAGCACTGACAGCATGGGATCGAGAAATAAGTATCAATGAGTGTAGCTGAAGCAGCAGAGGAGTGAGACTGCAATTGTAAACTATACACAAAGAACTACTGTATGGTATATCATCAGTCACATGTAAAATGCCGAGTGGTATCCTTCAATGTTTCATCAAAGTACTCAACTACACTAGCACACCTTGTGTGATTAATTGGAGTGTTTGGTTCTCAGTTATAATTAGAAGTTCACGAAAATGTGTTTCTGGAGCACTTTAGCTCAACAGTAGGAACAGGAGCTGGAATTCCGTGGACATGAAGCCCCGTCAGGAGAAATGGTAACGAGCCAATTACAAATTATCACTATGTGGTCAAGGATCAAGGTAAGTGCTCAACTAAAGCAAAGATATCACACAGTAGCGTTGTTGAACGTGAAGAGCCACCGAGAAACAAGCAATATCATACGTGTGTCAGTCGGAATAATAACTCCTTTACGCAATCAAACATTATTGACTAATGATTTACGAAGGATTACAAGCACAGTCGTACTATTAAGAAGCATTTTTGCGAAATATTCGTCATATATGACCAGGACCTACAGATTTGTGATTGAAATTCATGGTCTATGGACCAAAGCTTGTACTTTAGCTCATCAAACGTTCAAGCTTTGATTCGAAAGAGGGCGGTCTGTAGGCGTGCTGAATGTGATTCTAATTAGAGCACACAAAAGGCCTAAATATTGTGAACCGTGATTTGTTGGTAATTATGTTGGGGACAGGCAGGAGTAAGGATACTAAGACTTTGCTGCAGGAAGGGAGTTAATGGGTTCTAAAGCAACGGCAAATAGTTAAGACCTCTGGACGTACAAAAGTTCCTGCCCCATTGACGCAATCTAGTCGTTCAGTTGCCGTCTGGTACTAATCGTACCGAATCGTTTACAAACAACGTCACCAGATAGTCATCAGTCATAGCGTAGAAGCGAGAAGTATGGTTGGTAAGCACATCATGTATAACATCCATTACTAGGCGTTATATAAACAAATAGATATCAGTGACCCGCGATCGCCCCGAGTTATTTACGTATGAGCCCTAGTAGTATTTACCAGTAAGGCACCTATTAAGCGCATCAGAGTTTACGACTCAAACTCTACACTGAGCACAGGGGACAAGTGTTGCAACGTGTACGTAAATTAGCAGTCAACGTGTTTTGGTTTCAACCGAAAGTCCAGCCATAACTTCAATAGCTTTGGTCATAACGTTTGAGCTCCACACAGGACCGTTATTGTTTAAGATATAATCTGTATGTTATAATTACTAGCCTGTGAAAAGGTACTTTGGATAGACTCAGCTATTGAGAAGATTACCATCCACAGATCAGAATAGCGTTTTGTCGCCCGTAACAGGCTGAAGATCTCAACTAGAGTGGATTTCGGGCCCTACAATGTACAGCCACATGCATATAGTGTGAGGAGACCATATGCATTGCATAATGCCATATGCACAGGACGTGCGTGATACATACATATGCAACTAACTAAGACATTATCCAGTAACTCTGGTTACCTTCTACATGCATTAACCAAACTAACTAATAATTCACAATAAACGCTGACTGGCTATGGTACCTAATGATTAGACGATAGGAAGATATCTGGCCTTACTCATGATTCGTAACTATATATGAGTTCCGAAACTCCTTTCTACCGCACTCTATTGGACTTTTTATGTTGGCAGAACCCCCTCGATCGCTTCACTCTTGCCTAATCATCATCAGCTCACTTTGCTGTCAGCACTGGGCTGATCAGGGTTACTACCACCAGTAAATACAGGGTTTAATATGATATACAGCTATTGTTGCAATACATCACTGAGTTACATGGAGGCTTTGATGGACAAAATGGAATGAGCATAATAATACGTCTGTAATAGGCAGCACAGCGTGGCACTGCAATTAGTAGTCGTGATCAATGAAATTACTCATGCAGCGTACCCAATACTTCAGCATATGTCCCAACAATACATTGATTTAGGGATGTCACACTTGAGTAAAGTTATATGCAGAACAGCAAGGTCCAAAATCACCCTTTATAATCACTTAGTAGTGTATTTGAAGTTTGCGAAGCCAATGAGGGTAGCACTTCCAGCTAAGAAATAAGTCCAAGCTTTCTTTTTTATGGTCATCATTGCTTGCATTGATTTGTTGTTCTATATTCATTTGATCCAGTAGGCTAGTCCATGAGATTCTTTGTGGTGAAATAGCTGGTCATTGCAACTTTTTTCTACTTAGTACCGTAACATTTCTGAAGCCTGGTTGAAAGAAGCACGTTGACAAAGTGTCTGCCATCCTGAACAACGCCTTGTGGCTTAGACCATTTCTGTTTTTGTTTCAGTAATTGCAAAGTACCACTGGTGGATTCCAGTTTCAGAGCTATCTTGAGGATGGCAGGAGCTAGGTAAATACAGATATCTGTTTTATCATTGAAGAAGTATCATATCATCATCGTCATCATCATCCTTTTTAAAAAAGGGTAGATTCAATAGCTGTGGTGCCGTAGGTCTGTCCTTTGGATCCATTCGGAAGCACTGCTCCATAACTTCAATCACCTGGAGGGTTTCTCTTTTCATCGATTTCGTTTCATCATCATCCAG